TCAAGACTGGAGCTATTGCTGATCTCGGGTCAAATATTTAGTCAGATTACAATCGGCTGACCACAGCGGTCCATTCCTCGATTTCAGTGTTGCGTCATACGCATCGCATTTCAGAATTGTTTTTTTTAAGAATGTGAACCGAAGTGCATATTATATGGTAGTAACGGTCGAAAATTTTAATTTGAACATAGTAAAAGGTCGCAGTTCGTATCACGTTTATCTGTAAGATACTCAGTGTACCTGTCAGCTGTAAACAATGTGTACTTTACACTACTAATAACTTACCCTATCTTGTAAATAACTATAATTATTCTGCTAATATGTAAACGTGGAGAATTTTAATTGTTTTTTGGTTGGTGATGCATCCGTTATACTAGCTCCTTCGACAGGATAACCTGAAGCTTGAACAGAGCTTCGGCTGCGCTCGGTCGCATAGTCGGATCTACCGATACGAATGTGTAACCAAGGTCCGTCATGGATTTTGGACCTACATCCGAAAACTCCACCGAAACCGTAGCCCATTGCTACCCTTTGCAGAAGGGTTGGACCTGTCATTTGTGGACCATGTGAGTTTTGCCTCTTTTGTTTGGCCTGAGAGTACGGAAGACTATGGGTGTCCAATTCGCTTAACACGACTGCAAACAAGAAGATATCCGCCTTATCGTCGTATTTTTCACCTGTCATCACCTCGGGAGCCATCCACAGCGATGTCCCTACTCCAGCTGTCATTGTTTTGTCAAGCCGCTCTCGCGAAATCCCGAAGTCTGTTAGCTTGGCTTCGTGCATTTCGTTCAACAGAATATTTCTCGACTTCAAGTCCCGATGGATCACTGGAGGTTCGAGAGAGTGCAAATATGTGAGAGCATGGCACACGTGCAGCGCGATAGCTGTCTTCTCGCGATCAAATCCGAGTGGACGCTGCTTTTGCTCGTAATTTGCTAACAACGATCGCAAATCTCCACCCTCCATAAATTCCAGCACTACACAGAGATCGGAGAGCGAGTCCCATGCAATACCAATGCAAGCATCAATTCGCGGGTGCTCCATCGTAGCGGTTAGTCTTGCCTCCATGAGAAAGTCGTTAACCATTTTAATGTCACGTCGTGCGCTTGGAAGCAGCATCTTGAGTGCAACTTGGTTGTCATTGTAGATCCCAGCATATACCTCACCGAAAGCACCACGACTGATGATCTTAAGAACACGGACTTGTTCGCTTGGATTCGATTGGCTGTGATGATGTCATCATCCCACAAACCAGTTTGACCTTCATCAGCTCTGGTTTGTTGTCGGCGAACGACTAGGAACCCCAGAAGCATTACGAATAGAAAAGCTACGACGCAACCAACGATAATCCCAATGATGGATGAGGTGCTCAGTCGGTCGTCACTATTAGTTGCTAAAACTCCTCCCTTTACCCAGACATTAATACTCAAATCAAGCTCAGACTCGTACCACGTACGTTGTTGGTCACCCCCTTCAACCTCGGATGCGGATACTTAGCGACATGATACAATAAATTGTGCGCCATTTTGGACATGTGTCGTCGCCCATAGTACAGGAGCTATTTACATGAAGATTGTCGAATTTCCTCCATTACCGTTATATTGGAACAATTGAGGGTCGAAAGTCTCGTCAATTTGGCCGTCCATTGACCACATTGGACCATCCTTTTCTACAAGAGTAAAGTCCCACGATTCACCCTCTGGGCTGATGGGCCATCAGTGATGGCACATGCTGCCCTGGGTTCAACGAAACTTGGATCCCACGCCGCTGTCGTCTGTTAAGTACAAAGTGGTGCCCCGTAGCTACAGTTGCTAATCAGTGGGGTATTATCGAGCGGACCATTCGAAAGTGGATAAAGAAGCAAGAATAATTAGCGTTGTTAGAGCCTAGACATCCAGGGACAAACCCATGACTTCCGCCAGAAGCAGAGCGTCATGTATTTGAGTGTTGCTCGCCAGCTTCTTGGCCAACCCGTCGATCGATCCGTGATTCTTAAGAAAGCAAACGAGATATCATTGCTTGTTACTGGATTAAGTGTATCAAGTGAGTGGTACCCTCGTTTTGTCAGCCGCCACCCGAAGTTGACCACACGAGTGGCCCAAACACTGTCCCTAAAGCGCAATTCTGTCGTTTTCGAAGACCTGACAACACTGTTTAACACGATCGCTAAACTGGTTATTGAACTAGATTTAGACAGCACTAGATTATTCAGTATGGACGATGCGGCTTTTCAGACACGAAAAAAGAACAAAAAAGTTGTGGCAGTTCGGGTCAACTAACGTGTGATGAGCGGACCCTTCTGTCAACTTCCACCTCTCAATCGTCGCTTGTGGCAGTGCTGCAGATTATGTAGTCCCTCCTGCATACATACTTCCAGGAAAGGCTGTCCCGTTGGATATATTGCAGGGCAGTGGTGTTACGAGCGCAGCGGTAACCACCTCGTCGACCGGATTCATCAACTCCTATTTGTTCAAGAAGTGGCTAGATTTTTTTTCTACATCAGTGCCAGTTTCAGTCAAGAGGCCACTTTTGTTGGTACTAGATGGCAGTAGCTCTCACTACTCGACAGAAGTCATTGAAGCAGCGGCACGTCTAGACGTATTGCTTGTGGGAGGATGGCGTGTCGTGCTCTGCCAGACTGCCGCAGCTCTGTTGAACTTGCTTGTTGCCGCTGACGTATACGTATAC